AAAGACACCAATCCCAGAATGCACTCCCACTAAGGTCCTCTAGTTCAGAATCAGAAATACTTCATTAATCCCAGAGGGAAAGTTGATCGATACAGTTTCTCCAAAAATACAGTATAGCAGTAGAAATTTAGCAATAAAAACATTTACAGACATATTTACTTCAACACATAAGGCCGTTTCCTCAACTGATTCAGAGATTTCTTCCAGAATTGATCTTGGAAATTCCTGTCAGAAAACAGACTCTATGTCTGTGTCCATAGGCAAACAGTGAGAGCAGCGACACTACCAGTCAGCCCCAGCTCGAGCCAGCTCCTCGTCCTCACCAGACAGGCAGGCATTATGTCTCGGCTGTTGAGCTGGCAGCGGCCGGCGGCAGCAATGTAGCAATACAGCCGCAAGACGGTTGCTGCCGACAGGCCGGTCTTGTGTTGTGGGCAGCTCCTGGCGGCCGGGCTCGCGGCCGCCGGAGATTATCAGCTTTCTCCATAGAGCCTGTTAGCATAGCTTCCAAGCAATATGGCGGACGTTAAGTTTTTGATTCTGGGAGTGAGTTCCCACCCACTGATCTGTGATTGGTCTGTAGCTTCAGTGATCGAAGATATGAGGAACTAGCGTTGTAGTTTCACCCTGCTAACTGCAACAGCTTCCAATGACGCAAAAATCATGATTTTGTGTCACTGGAAGCTCCTTTTCAGACACAGAAATACAAAGATTTCCTATCTCAGGGGAAAATGAGGGCGGATGCACGACCATTCAAAAATACTACCAGGTTTCTAATGATACAAAGCTTAATGCAAATGGGTGAAGTATCCCTTTCAGCAACCCAGAAGTCTCCATTGAAATCATCAAAATTTTGGGAGGCTCTCAGGCTATAAAATTGATTACGCAAATCAGAGCTATGCTCCTAACTCTTAATACCATTTGGACATCATATAGCTCTGCCCTTTCTGATGGTCCCCTTCTGGTTTGTTATATGGGTATATATAAATTACTCCATCCCTCTCTTTCTCTATAAAGCCAACTTTTTGCCTTTAATCCACAGAATGAATAGATGATCTGGCATGCTGGACTTCCTTCACATTATCTCTTTTGGTAGAGTAAATCTTTTTACTCTACTCTAAAAATATTTTTACTCTACTCAGCTGCTTTATGTTTTTCAAATGATCCCAGTTCTTTTGACCGGAAAATCAATCCCTTTTTTAAACAGCTCATTATCATCCTTTTTATGAGAAAATAAACAAGCTAGATTAAAACTACAGAAGCTGCAGCACCGACTAGAAGAGGGTGGACTGGCTTTGCCCAATATTAGATACTACCAACTGGCTTGCCTTGGCAGGTATCTTTGGAATGGGTTAGAAATTACCCGAAATCTACATGGCTCAACATAGAGGCTGCCCCTGGACAAAATTCCTCTTTGTTATATTATGTATATTTCTAAAAAAATGGGTTTCAGAGAAAGTAAAAGGTAATTTCCACACTATAAAAGTATGGAGAACTATTAGGAAAATAGAGGCTCGGGAAGACTGTCTTTCAAGACTTACCCCCATTTATCTGAATCCAGACGTTCCCCTAGCCTAGTAGATTGTGCATTTACATTTTGGTCAGACAAGGGTATTGGAACCATTGGTCTGGTTCATCTGGGTGTTTGTCCACTAACAAGGTTAAGGTAATGTAATTCAAAATTATATACAGGCTTCAAATTACACCACTGCTACGGAATAGATTCAACCCTTCTCTTTCAAAGAATTGTAATAAATGTAAGGTTATTGAAGGGACATACTTCCACTGTATCTTCAATTGGCCTTTCATCAAAACGTTTTGGGTAAATGTTTGTAAAGAAATGTCTGTAATGTTTGGTAAAAACTTAGATCTTAAGCCGGTTTCTTGTATTATTGGTTTATATTCTGCAATTAATATTAAACCCAACATGTTGAAACTCCTTGATGTTCTTTTGTTTGGTGCTAGAAGGTGCATCTTACTTCAGTGGATCTCTAACAAACCTGCTCAGCTCTCAATGTGGTTACGAAGTATAATAGAACTCATACCCCTGGAGGCCATGACCTACTGGCTCAAGGACAAACCCTCTTCATTTCAAAAAATATGGGACCCTTCTTAACCTATATTGGAGTAGAGAGAGCACAGCCTCTGCAAAGAGGCCTATTTGGACTTATTTGGATAGATATGTTACGGCTCTGGCTGTGATCCTATTTCTGTGTATCCTTTGTGTCCCTCCCCTCTGTCTGTCTGTGTGTGTGTCTCTGGAGGTGTGGCTGCAATCAACACCGGGTGACTACTCACACCTGCAGCTCGTCTGCTCATCTGCCTCAAGTTAAAAACCCTGGGTCAACTCGACTCATTGCCAGATTATTGTGCCTACTGAAGTGGTAGATACTATCGGCTGCTCCTAACATTTGTTAGAGTTTTGTTCTAGTAGTGTTTTACTAGTGGATCCTAACTGATTTTTCTCTCCTGTTGTCCAGATTCTCACCGGTGTCATCTCCTCCAGTCTGCTCTCCTCACAGACAACACAACCACTCATCCGCCTGCCTACAGAACCAGCTACTCCATAGTCTCCTCCATGCCGTCATTACCAGCCATCCACCTTTCCCAAACCCTGCAATAAAACCTCAAATCCTTCAGCTTTGCTGCTGTGTCTGCTTTTGGGTCTGGATACAAACCGTAACAAGATATTCTTAAAGAGGCCCGTAATCAACCTGTATTCAACCTTAATAAAGCAGAAAAGCTGTGACACTTTACTGCCTGAACCCTTGGTTACTTACTTTTTTTATTTGTAATTATTTTCGTAATCTCTTCTTGTTATATATATCCTTTTTTTTCTTCTTCCCCCATTTGTTTCATTTATTTTTATTTTTATTCATCAACAGCTCTTCTTGAGAGTTCTGACCAGCATCCTAAATATCATCGTCATTGTCATTAAGTTCGTTGGTGTTCATAAAGAGCTGGGTCTTTAGCTTTTCCTTAAAGATGCAAAGGGACTCTGCAGATTGAATGGCACAAGGGAGTGTAGACCTGGATGGATCATCTGCAGGGGTTTGATAGTGCATGCAGGAAGACCTGCCTAAGGAGTTGCAATAGTTAATGCGTATTATCAAACTAGTACCTGGACCATTACCTTGATGTATGTATGACAGGGGTACAAAAGATTACACTGTAGCCTCTAAATAATTACATGATACATTGTGGGCTGCAACCTAAAATGTACCCTTAATTGTAATGCCCTTCCCTTCTGTATGTTCAATTTCATGTTTATGAAGTTTTGGTATTAGTAACGGTGTGCAATGCATCTTGTTTACAGTATGACAGGTATGGCATGGTGGTTGGTGCGCTTGCCCCATGTCCAGAGACTGTGGTCCTCGAGGGCAGGCAGCCCTATGACTCTATTCCTGCATCTCTTTCCCCACTGTTTCTCTCCCTGATTTCTTGACCATGTCCACTGTCCTTTCATTAAATAAAGGCATAAAAAGCCCAATATAGATCTTTAAAGAGTTTTATGTGTATATATATAAATACAGTTTACAAAGTGACTCACCTGTACACTTGAACTTCCCTGTAAGAACACAACCTCTTTGAAATCTTGAAGAATACTCAGGTACTTCTTGTCAGTGTACTCGTAGCGATGTCCAAACACAAGGCAGTTGATAATGTTGGACACAGCACTGATTATCAGTGGCTGAGCATTCATAGGCTGTCCTGTCAGGTAAAGAGAAAATGTAGAGAGTCGTGAAAAAGAAGACACAGACCTTATTTAAATATGTATTTAAGTCACTGCTCTGCCAAGTTGTCAATAAGCTTGTAATAATAGATTATCATCAGGTTGATACCAGATGTGTTATATGGTTTATGATCCTTTGTTGCTTGGTTTTGTGTGTGTCAAAGTTTAAAGATAATGTTTACCACAAGATTATTTAATAATAACTAAAGACAAAGGGAGGAAAACAGGACTACAAGACTAGTTCAGGATTGTATTCTTGTCAGTTGCTGCTATGATTTTTTTATTGCCTTTGTGATTGGCAAAAGCCTCAGTGAGATATTGGCTCTCCTGCTGGATGGATGGCTCCAGGGTCTTCTTGCCCACTCCAAAGTTCCTGAGAGTGTGAAGAGCGAATCTCCTCTGTTGCTTCCATGGATTGCTGTTTGACATCACCAGACCTTTTAGAGACACACAAACACATTATACTGAACACATTAAGGAATAAGAATTTAACAACAAGCTCGATGGCAATATATGCATAAATACAACCAGTCACGCAATGCAAACGCAGTACCCTTGTCCCCCATCATTGCACAAAAAATAGGTATGACGGGGCGATCGACATAGTCCTCCCCCTTTTTGGACCAGGGCCTCTCTCACAAGCTTGTATCCATTGATGACCACAACTCTTCCACCAAAGAGCCGCAGGCTGAAAATCTTTCCATATTTCTCTGCAAACTGAGAACACAGAGCAGACAGGTGTTCAGGTGGAACTGTGACACCACAAACACTCACCCGGCTGTTGTGACAAGTGAATAAGTTATGCACTAATAGTTTAGAATAACTTCTACTAAATTCTTAATAAGGAAACATAACAGAATCAATCTTGTGATTATTATTCCTTTTTTCCAGGTATTTTTATGGTCATAAACAAAGCCAACATGTCTGAAATAACTTACTGACACGTAAAGACTTTCATGACGATGCAGTTTTGATGTTTGAGTAAGCTAAAAGTTTGGTTTTATGAACAATAAATGTGCTAGCAGACAAGCCCATGCTAGGTGCCATAGATCAACCTGTAGTTACACCATATGAAGTGTGTGCTGTACTTGTCTTATTGTCTTATTTAATAGATGTGTACTGCCTTGTGTTCTCATGCACTTTAATGAGTTTGTTGAGCGTTTAAGACTTGTCTCGATAGAAGAGCGTGAGAAAATTAAGCATTTAGTTCTTATAGTATTTGGATCCATATGTATGAGTTCTGCTGATTTTTGTGTTTTGATGTTGTTTGGGTTCTAATGATGTTTGGGTTCTTATGATGGTTGGTTTCTGATGATGTTTGGGTTTTGATTATTTGTTTGGGTTCCGATGATGTTGGTGTTATTATAATGTTTTGGTTCTGCTGATGTTTGGGTTCTTATGATGCTCAGATTTTTAGGATGTTTGGGTTTTTATGTTGTTTGTGTTATTATGATATTCTGGTTTTGATAATGTTCGTGTTCTGATAATGTTTGGGTTCTAATGGTGTTCAGGTTCTTATGATGTCTGAGTTCTGCTGATTTTTGGGTTCTGATGTTTGTCTGGTTTTTTGGGGGGTTCTGCTGACCGTTGGGTTCTATTGGTGTTCAGGTTCTTATGATGTTTGGGTTCTAATAGGTCTAATAATTTGTCCGCGTTCTTATGTGATGTTTGGGTTCTGATGTGGGTCTGGTTTTTGTTTGGGTTCTGCTGACTGTTGGGTTCTTATGATGTTTGGGTTCTAATGGTGTTCAGGTTCTTATGATGTTTGGATTCTGCTGATTCTCATGATGTTTGGGTTCTTATGATGTTTGGATTCTGCTGATTCTTATGATGTTCAGGTTCGGTTTCTTGTGAATTCTTCGTTCCTCATCCACAGTAATCATGTTTATTGCTGACATTATTTTACACGAAGAAAGTGCAAAACAAAGTCAGTCAGGAAAGAGTAATATTTAATTTTAGAAAGTGTTCAAATGTGAAAAAAAGGTCTATATTTAAATTTTATATTTCAATGATCAGATGTTTCACTGAACAGTGATGTATGAATGGCCTCTACAAACCTCTGAGAGCTGCACGTGGATCCTGCTGGCTTTGATGCGATGAAGGTCTCCGATCAATGGGAGAGCCCACGGTCCAGGAGGAAAGTTTGATGGGACTCTGTTCTTCAAAATATCAGCCAACAGCACAAAAACACACAGAAATATCACAATACTTATTCCGTCCATCCACTCAAATCCAAGCAGACTTTTTATGGCCTCCATCTGTTGACTTTTAGTTGTCTGCTTATTTACAGTGCATCAAGGACTGAAGAGAGTTAAGTCCGCACAGGTTAAAAGTTAAATCAAGAAGAAACGTTATACGATAGGTTGATATCAAATTATCCTTTCCTGCTTGTGCTTGTTTCCTTCAAAATAAAAGCACAGCACAGGAAAACAGTGTGCATTCATCCTTCAGTGACAAAAACTTTTTTTTTTACAAAGCATGGGAAAAATTTACATTTTGGAAAACACTTTAAGGTTTTATAAATTAAAGTTACACAAGCAAGCAAAATGTTTACCAACGACAAAAACTAATTTACAAGATGTGAAACACTTTTAGGAGCCCTGAGACAAATTCACATCTGGCAGAACACTTTTGGTAAATGGACTTGAGATGGTATGCAGGCTGCAGGAGCTGGGGATCAAACCCAGACCTTCCAGTTGAGACACTACCGACTCTACCACTGAGCCACAGTATTTAATATCAAGTAATGTTCAACAGTGTTCTTGATACTTATTGAATGAAACCTTTATTAAACATAAGTCACTCCAGTTGAATATAATTTGAAAAGTCTGAAGCTAGAAGGAGCTTCCTGTCCAAAGATCAATGATGCTAAATGTCAGAGCTGTGTTGCGAAACACAACTTGACTTTTAGCCTGTATTTCTGAGTACACAGGACAAGGCAGATACCTTTTGTTCACACTGCACTTTGTATTGCTGGCTTAATTTTGTTTATATTATCTAATCAGAGTCTAAAGTCACTCAAGTGCAGATTGGGTTTGACCATTAAGGTGTGTTAGATAATATGACTGGGCTGTGATTGATGTTTTTTCAGTAGTGATTGCCATATTATTGTTTTGGTCTTTCATGATAATATGTTATTTCTACATTTGTCCGTGAGAAAGGCCTGTTTTGACAAGGGAAAGTAGGCGTGGCTGCTGCAAGTTGTGTAACCATGCTCCTCTTTGTACAGTCAGATTGTTTTACCCTAATCTCAACCTGTTCAAAAATGTATAGAGCAGGGGTCTCCAACCTTTTTTCATCTGAGAGTTACTTTCAAAAAAATGAAAGGGCTACTTGCATCAAATCGCTTGCATTTATTTACATAGCTAAACTGAATTAAGCTACTGTTTGTAGACGTGTGAAATTGCAATAAGCCAATGCTTATCAATAATCTTAAATTCACATCAATGTCCAAGAAAACATTAGTACTTCATACTTGTTTTTATGGGCCAAATATATGAATAGTGGGAAGAGGTGCATTTACCGTCGTCAGATTTTTATTTTTATTTTTCACACAGTCGATCAACCTATAGGCGAGCTACTGAAAAACCTGCCCATGAGCTACCAGTAGCTCCCGAGCTACCTGTTGGAGACCCCTGGTATAGAGTGTAGTCGCTGAGTGAGTAGACCATCTGTTTATCAATATTTGACAGGAATTTGTAAACCATAAGTGCTTCAAGTTAGAACATAGGAAGTCTTCCTCCTGCTGCTGGCCTCTCTCATTTTAACAATGCGGCTTTATGATTTTTTACTGAGTTTAGACCTCAAGGGGCTATTTCTGTTTCTTATTATTTTCTTCATAATAGCAGACTACCTCAAAAACTGGAATCCTCCTAATTTTCCTCCAGGACCATGGGCAAAAATTCAAAGTCCGCGGAAACGCGGCTTCTCCTACGTCCTCCTGTTAGCTGTAGCATTAGCTGCATGTAACGCTTGGTTCTAGCCCCCCTCAAAAAAAAATTGCCAGTGTGACGTCTTGTCAGTGTGATATCACTGATCTAAGCCCATTGGCTTGTTGTGGCAAGCCCTGCAGCTCATGTTGCGCGCCTGTTAACTTCTGTAGCACTCCATGATATGCTGTAGCCTGCGGTTGCACAGTAGTGCTAAGGTGCTAATGTTTTTGCTCCCCGGCCCTCAGAGCCAAAGTGACTGCATTCCCAATATGGTGAAAGGGGCGTGACATTTCCGAGAACCGTGCTGAGCGGCTGACCAATCACAACAGAGCCGACAAATCAGATCAGACTTGGCACACGTGGGGACCATAGACTGTAAAATAATGGACGGGACAAGGTCCCGGTCTAGTGAAGCTTTTATTTTTAGAGCTCCCCCTACTGACTGGCTGCAGTATAGGTCATAAACCCCGCCTCCTCAATGATAACAGACGGGATGTGGGTCAAACTGTAAAGCTAAAATACTCGTCACATAATTTTTTTCCAAACATAAACTCTGCTGTGATCATTAGTTATTATCACCCTACATTGTGTTCAAGTGCTCATTTTTCTGTGAAGTTTGTTTTAAATAAGTTATTTGAGGTTGAAAAACAGGATTTTACGTCATATTTGACGATGATTGACAGCCGCCGATCTTGCGTAGCTCTCTTTGTGAATAGCAAAAGTTACGTAGTGAAGGAAAGCTGAGACGCCATTGAATTTTTCCGTTCAGTTTTTTCGTCTTTTTGGAGCTGGCAAAATGAGTTGTTCTGCAGTAAACTGTTCTAACCGACCTGTGGGAGCTAAGGGATCTTTGCAGTTTTTTCGGTAAGTAAAAAAGTGATTTATGTGTCATTGGTTAAAGTTTTATCTAGCTAGCTAACACATAAGCAGTCTAAGGTTAGCTGAAATGTTGTAAAGCTAGGTTACTTATCCGGCATGATTTATCTTTTTATTTTATTTTATTAAATGAGCAAACCTAATAACTGACATGCTATGTTTCTTGATATTGTTATATCGTTATTGTGATTGAAATTGTATTTAAAACCAAGAATCGTAATAAAAAATCCGCTCATAGATGCGGTTCATTGACTGTACAGTTATTTTACAGTAAAAATAAATTTGTCTAGTAAAGTCTCAAAAGTATCTAGGACAAAAACAAAGTCACATAATTGTAATCTGGCCTGCATCATTACTAATGTGTACATGTTTACAGTCTGAGTGATAAGTGGGCTATAGCGAGAGTAACAGGTTTTACTTTCACCGTGCAGGCTGAAATTCAAAGTACTATATATATATACTGTATATACCTCGTATACGAGGGTAGAATATTTCTCTATGTATCCAGATAAAACTAAAGGTAAGCTCTGATTTAATATAACTGTTACTGATTTAAGAGACTAACCGAAACGTGAACGCAAACATCAACAACCGGCGGTGGTGTAATGTAATATTAACCGAGCATCATGCTGCTTAAACGTGATAAATATTCTGCATTGTCTTCCACACACCAATTCAACAGTCATAAGTTGATCATATTGTAAATTTAATGACACTCATTGAGAAATTGTTCTAAAAATTGACAAAACCTGACAAACATTGCGGTGATTGTGACTGTGTCTGTATTTAACACCTTTGAAAAGAAGGTGTTAATGCAGGAGACCAGTGTTACACACAACATGCTGCTGTTATTGTAGTTAGGAGGAGACATAGGCACAACAAAAGAAGACATAAAGATCACGTTTTTCCCCACACATGTTAATATGTTTTAAATGTCATGCATTTATTTTTGATTTCGCTTCAATAATGGTTAACGAAGAGAAACACCATGATTAAACTACAGGCTATTGTTGCCTTTTTATAGCCAAAGAAAACTGAACATTCACAGCCTCTGTATTCAAAAGAATTTCAACATTGACATTTATGTCGTCCTATTTCCCTCTTTTCACCAACATTATATTTTATATTTTTTATTGGCACCTCACCAATAAAATACTATTTTATATTTTATAATTTTACTCTCCAAAGGCATATGAGCATGTGCGTGACAACTTTAACAAAGCTTTACCACACAGTCACACCATCTGCACAGCTGATCCAGGATTTACTGTAGCATCTTTTACAGCACTAAAAGGTCATGTACAGGCAAACAGAGAGAAGGGAAAAGAAACAATCTGTGCTCTCAAATAACAAAGCAGTCTCAAATCTTTTTGAGGAATTACAGCTACATTTTTTTTACTTTGCATACAGTACATCCTCTGATAAATAAAGTGAAGTACTTTGATTACATTTCTGTGGTGTTCCTGTAGGTAACCATGATGCAGCCAGACTGAAGCAGCAGGTTGTGAAGGTGGACGCCATCATCTTGTCTTTGCAGTGCTGATTCTGAAGAGCATGTCTTCACATAGGACTCAAAGTTAAAATGATCTCTCATATGATTGGACCGTGTTATTGTAACCGCTATCAGCATCAAAGTAATTTTAGTAACAATTTATAATCCTTAAAATGTAAGGAAGACTAGCAGAAGATTTTAACAACCTCTATGGTTCTGCAAGAAGTTCATGTTTAAATTGTTCTTCTTTCTGTCTTCAAGGAAATCAATGCCCAAAGGAAACAGCAGTCCAGACTTTAATTCCAGCTCCGTTGAGGTTCTGTATGGAAGCAATTAGTGATCAGAATTCAAATGATAAAGCTAATTTGAAAATTCAAATGCATTAACAGAAATGCTTTTTAATTAATCATCTTTTTTTTTTGAGTCAAATAATACACCCATATTCTGAAATTAAAAAGCATTTCTGTTAATGCATTTGAATTTTCAAATTAGCTTTATCATTTGAATTCTGATCACTAATTGCTTCCATAGTTCTGCACACAAATTGGCTGTCTGATTATATGAGAATATTTAACATTAGTTTAATTCATCAGGCTGGCCCATGTGATGACAGTTTACAATAATCTTCAATAGAAAGTGGCAGGAACACTTTTGTCTTAAAACATAAATTCATAAAGCGGATCATATTATTGGATTCATCCTGTCTAATTATATGTTTTGTTTTTCCTCATAAATAGTTATCCTGTCATAAAAACAAACTTTAGAACCTGAAGTTTAACAGAACCTGAGAACAAATCTGATTTCAGGTCTGAGGCATAAACATCACAGTAAAATTCATTATACTTTACATTTAACTCCATGATTGTTTTTCTTTATTACAGAAGATGCTCTCAGATTCAGATCCATCAGCAACCCCTGACAATATGGAGGACTCGTCCCCTGAGCGTTTCCTGTCCTCTCTCGATGGTCTTCTTCTCTTCAGTTATTAACTCTTGAAAACAGTAGCACAAAATGCCAGACTGTTTGACAAGTCTGTGATTGAATAAATTGAAATGGAATCTCATGCGTATCTTGCTATGCTTATTGGCTTTAAGTGTTTAATATTAAATAAGTTTGAAGGCCATTTATCTCAGACGAGCCCGGCTGTGACAAGCTGAGCTCATCTGTTAGCTTTGCTGTTGTCTTAGCTGTTGTTGGTCAAGAAGAAATTAATGTCAGTTCAAAGCCTTTTCAAATGTGAACTATAAACTTAACTGCTAAATTATTTTACTGTGACCAACACGTTGTTGTACTCCAGTTAATCAGAGACAGTCATATCAGATTTTTAAAATGTTTATTTCAACATTTTATGAAAATAAATCTTCAATAAACAATCCCTGGCTTCATTAACCATGTGGAAAATAAGTAAGGGAGACCATCAAGTCAAACTGCTGGGACATAGGAGAAAGTATAAAAAATAATTTAACAAAGAAATCCAAACAAAATCAAATAAAGTATAGAGATCCTGGATGATTGATGATTGAATCTGGCACAGCTCTTAGTCCAAGCACAGGTGAAAAAAGGAGGAGGTTGACCCCAGCCTGACCACTGTAACGGGTGTGCAGATGAAGGTTGAAATGAGTCATTTTTAGGTTCTGTTGATTGTAAAATGGAAAAGAAAACATCACCTTTCTATTTAACATTTAGCTGGTGTATGACTCAGTGTGATTTTTATTTTAGAAGACTGTATTGTTAACAATAGCTTATTTTTACAACCCTCTTGTGAAACAATCACAGGATATATAACTTTTAACAGATGATTTTAACTTACACTTCACCTCTGTGGAAGATGTCAGACCAGCTGCTTTTATAGTCTTCTTTGCCTGAATGAAAATAAAAAAAACAATTGATTTACTGTTCATTTAAATATATTAGAAAAGCAGACATGAATCACATTGCAGACTATCAGTTTCTAACAAAATACAACATATCTTACCACCTGTAGTCTACGGTCTGTGGTGCTAACCTAGCTTAAATATAGCTTCAATATAGAATGATTTCGGCAAAAACAGAGGACCCAGCAGCCCACATATTTTCAATAATGATCAAAATAGCGGGATTTTTTAAAACACAGTGTGTTTAAATATGGGCTGGGCTGCGTAAGTCATCAGGGCAGTACGCTAAGTGGGCGAGGCGTGTTACCAGGGCTCCTGCCCCCGGACCCTACTGCGCAGACTCTGGCTCCAAATGACGTCAAAATTGCAAGATGGAAGCGCCCCTAAGCGGCGTATTTTGGCTTCAAGAACGTTGAGTGGGAACAGCTACAGTGCGCGCCCACTGGTGGGGACTCTGAACGTGGGCACTTCAGAGCCTTAGAGAGAGAGTCAGAAGCGAGCCGGTGCATGGAGCTACAGTACATGAAAACACGTTTTTATAACTTTAGCTATTGTGAACATAATTTAGTAGGTACATAGATTAAATATACGAACCCCAAAAATGGCATAATATGGCATAAGTTGGAGCGCCTTGATCTTGCCTCTAGGTCTGTCACTTTTTCCTCCAAGTGTTCATTTTTACCTTTGAGTGAACTCACTTTAGCTTGAAGCACCGTAACGTCATCTTCGGCTGTTGAGATCCGAGTCTCCGCTTGTGTGACTCGTTCTGCACAGTCAGTGAGGAACGTGCCTATGTTCCCACAGCCCTATGTTCCCACATTTCTAAGATTTTTTTTCTAAAATTAGGCCCTATGTTCCCACATTTTCTTTGTCATAAATTTGTATCAGATTTGATCCCCCTTTCTCCCAATTTGGTAGTCAATTACAACCTATTATTCAGTAGCAATGGACTACAGATGGAATGTAGCTTTTAGCTAAATCTGGTGCGCCGATCTCTTTGTTTATTGCAAACATTTAATGTGAGTGCACATTGTCCTTTTAAATAAACAAACTAAACTAAGCAGCACAGAGGCCTCGCATTGACTAGCTTCCGGTCAGATCAGTCGGATGAAGCGCAGCAACTGGACGCAAACCATAGTTTGCAGTGCATCAATACCTCTGGAAAGCCGGGTTGGCATAGAGAGGGGGTGCTCCTGGGATGCTTGGAGTCACTTTCCAGCCCTCTGGAGGCGTCATAGGCTCAACATTTGGCGTTAGCCATAATCTTGGGGATGCTATTCGGTGCTGCAAACTTTGTCAAGTTGATTGGAGTGTTCTAGTTTGACAAAGGCATTACCCTTAAATTCCATTCCGAAACTGGCTGTCCTTGAATCCCAAATAAGGATTTTGGAAAGGACTTAATCGTAAGTGTAGCGGAGCAGGTTAAAACGTGTCTGCTCAGCACGCTGCCATAACCGGAAGTCCTACTGGAGTCATGTTACTGATAGGAGGCAAACATCCTCAACCATCACTTTTAAATTAACATGTCAAGATAAAGTTGTCATTTCAAGTTGTACTTTTTCTGTTCCTTCACCTTTATTGTATTTTAGAGAAAGTCCAGGCAGAGATAGATGGAGTGATTGGACAAAGCCGCCTGCCCACTATGGCCGACAGACCCAACCTGCCCTACACTGATGCTGCCATCCATGAAATCCAGAGATATGGAAATATCGTTCCTCTCAATGGATTCAGAATGGCTGCCAAGGACACAACACTGGGTGGTTACTTCATCCCCAAGGTACATGTCCTTCAAAGTCTTTTAAACCCTTAACAGGACTCTTTCTTAACTGCTGTTTTTGCGATCATCTGTTGTGTAATTAAATTATTAAGATGTTAATAGTCTTAATAAAACCTTCATTTCAAGCGTAAAGCATAAAGAAATTAACATTAATTGTAGCAATTAATTACTTGGTCAATCTCATATCATAAGAGTACATTTTCAAGATGTTTTAAACCAGGAAACACAAAGGCAAAGTTCTGAATTTAAACAGATATAGACAAAGATTCTTATGATAATGCAATTATAATGTATATGACATTATAATATTATAATATATTATAATATCTTGAATTCTAGCACTTAATTCGTATGGTGAAATTATATGTTTAGTAACGAGATAAAACATGATACTGTTTTGAATGACTTAATCAGCAAACGATCATAAGAGAAAAAGTTGATAAACAAATTTTGGGATTAAATTTGGACTCGGATTCTGAATGTGACACAACCACTTTGATCTCTCAACACCTGCTCAGAAAAGACATCCTTACTTTGTGGTTTCTTCTTGAACTTCTCCCAAATGGTCTCGATCAAATGGATCTCTTTCGGGTCATCCAGCACAGGTCCGCTAGCCAAGCAGCTGCCGTAGTCAGCCGGATAGAAGTTTTGGTCTGTAGCTTTCAAGATGCTGATGCAAGGCGATGGCTGTCGGGGTTGGTTCGCGTCGTCGACCAGGGGCTCTGAGTGGATCAAAATGGAAAAATATTTAAAAAAGTATTTTGATGCTTCAATCTCCAATTTTAAACTAATCTGATGGCCAACCTCGATTAGTTCTCAAATACAAAATTGGCCTTCAAAAATGCTGAGCCAAAACTTTGAAAAGAAAGAGTTAAAAAGGCCTTAGGCAAGAAATAATTAAAGTTTCAAAATGTTTGTTTTGTTTAGAAGTTTATTGAGCAGGGACAAATACATTGTACATTGTTTCATATAAAATATAAAATAGAGGCCATGCATACAGGTTTCTAGTCAAGACTAATTTGCGACCCCTGTCCCTGGTTAGGCCTTTACTAAAAGTTACACACAAATAAGAATAAAGAACACATCAAATACAGGAGACATGAGGACAAAAACAAGGACAACGATTAAGGTGTGTGTGTGTGTGTGTGTGTGTGTGTGTGTGTGTGTGTGTGTGTGTGCGCGCGCGTGCGTGCGTGCGTGTGTGTGTGTGCGTGTGTATGAGTCAATGTTCACAGGGTTTATTCAGTTTCAACCATTGTTTTACGTGTGTGTTAAAAACCTTGAGCTCTGTCAATGTTTTAATTTCTGATGGTAATGTATTCCTCAGTTTGGTACCTATTACTGCAAAGGGTGATTGTCCGAATGTGTTTTTGCCCACTGCCCAACAGACCTGTAGTATTGCTTAATATGTAAATTATGTAACCTGAAACTTGTTTTTTCAGGCCTTGTGAAAGGTTCAGGCCTTTTCAGGTTGTGCTGCCTTAAGAGGTATATATTTTCTTATTAGGCAAAAGCAATTTAAGTTGGTCTTGACAGTTTTGCACAGCTTCTTAACATGTCTATTAAATTTAAGCTGAGAATCTAAAAATACACCTATTTGAACTCATCTACTTAATCTATCTCTATCTCATCAATCTTTACTCTTTTCGTTGGCTTTTCTTTTAATTGAAAAGCACATTGACACTGTCTTTTTATAATTTAAAGTCAAATGATTGTTTCTGAGCCACTGGGGTACCCCAGACATCTCTTCTGATAGAGTTTTGGCTGCCAACTGAGGAGTTTTTGCAGACGCAAACACCACGGTTTCGTCCGCATACATTTGGCATCTGGCTCTTTTACAACTGTCTGGTAAATCATTAATATATAAGCTAAAAAGTAAAGGGCCTAATATAAAACCTTGTGGAATTCCCAATGAACAAGTCTGGACAGTTGACAGGGTAGAATTGGATCTAACCCACTGCTCTCTGTGTTTAAGATATGTATGGAACCAAGCAATTGCCTCATCTGAGAAATGTTTTGAGTTTATTAAGGAGAATTTCATGGTTAACAGTATCAAAGGCTTTTTTCAAATTGCCTTTTTCCAGGGCTCAGGAAATTCATTACTTCTGATAGAGCAGTTGACAACATGAGTCACTGGCACTTGAACAACAGAACTGTGTTTTTTAATAAATAAAGTATCTAATCTAAAATAATCCTTATATTTAGATTGCCTTAACTGCATTATAACTTTACCAATCTCACTTTGATTAACCCCTTTAATATGAAAAGAAGTCGAGAGATCTCTCTGTATATCTTCAAACTCAATTGGTCGGAAATGAGTCACCAGTTCCTCAACTGATTTAATGAAAAATATATTAAATTAATTTGCAATTTCCAATACATCATTACTAACTGTTCCATTTATATTCAATTCCACATTAGATCTTTTCATATTTGATGCCCAATTAATCAAAGTATTTAGATGTTTCCAGAGTGCTGTGCTTTTCCCTTCTGAGTCAGCAATTACCGTAGTTACATAAAGTAACAGGTTTTTGCTATATGCAACTCCTTTGTTACCTTATTTCTTAAGCCTTTGAAAATAAGTGTGTCTGAATTAGTTTGTTACCAATGACTGTTTAAGTGATCTCTTTTCTTCATTATTTGGTGAATATCCTTATTTAACCACGGTAAAGTCCTGGAACGTTGTGGCTGTTTCAATTTCTGAATGTATTTCTGCATCAGATCAGTAAATGTTTTCATCATTGTATCACAACAGGTGTTTACATTGTAAGATTGTATAACATCATCCCAAGTAATATTCCGTAATTAATTTTCAAATTGTGTTGTTTTGTTGTCAGACAGGCCTGTGATTAAATTGTATGTCTTTGTCACTCTCTCAGTTCTATTGGCCAAGTCAATGAGGGTTTTGCTGACTTTAGTAAGTCTCATTGGTTCTTTGATTATTTGCTGAAAATGATGCTTTGATACATTTTTTTTAATTTTTGCTTGCTGCTTTGTCCAACCGGTTTATATTATAGTTTCCCAAAAATATAGTTTCACAGCTACAATTTAGTTGTTTAAGTAGTTCGTCTAGATCTTGGTAAAATGAGGCACCATGTGAGGGAGGATTATATAGGGTTACAATATTGAATTTCATTTTTGTTGACAACACTACATTAATAGCAATACACTCTAAAGGTGTGTCCAGATTAATTTCAACACATTTAAAACTCTCTCTTATATAAATCATTGCTCCACCCCCCCTGCCCATCAATCTATCTTTCCTAAAGCATACATAACCTGGTACATCAATCATATGTGTTGGGATATTACAGTTAAGCCACGTTTCAGTCAAACGTGCAGAGGGGGGGAGCAAATGGTTACTCCGGTGGGCATGGTTTGAATCAAACTGAGTTTCCTAAAAAGATTAAGAACAAGAATCTAAACATATATATATGTCACCATACATTCATTTAGATATACACTACTGGTCAAAAGTTTTAGAACACCCCAATTTTTCTAGTTTTTCATTGAAAATTATGCAGTTTAATGTCTAATTTTACTCTGAAATTAAAGGATAGAACAAATAAACAATTGAAATTAAAAAAGAAATCATGGAATCGATTTATAAACCAAAGCATATTCTAAACTTTTGACTCATCGAAGTAGCCACCTTTGGCAGGTATAACAGCTGGACACACTCGTGGCATTCTTTCAGCAATGGAAATCAGATATTCTTCAGAATGTTCTTCCCAAATCTGTTGCAGAAGTTGTTGCTTTGCTTTCACTCTTCTGTCCAGTTCATCCCAAACCAGCTCAATGGGGTTTAAATCTGGAGACTCTGCTGGCCACTCCATGTTTTTAAGCTTACCATCTTGTTCTTTTTTCTTAAGGTAGTTCTGGCATAGCTTGGAGTTATGTTTTGGGTCATTATCTTGCTTCAGGATGAAGCCCTGACCAACTTGGCGCATTCCAGGGGGTACTGCATGGTGCTGCAGAATGCTTTGGTAGCTGTTTTGGTTCAGGGTGCCTCTCACTCTGTACAAGTTACCAACCCTGGAACCAGCAAACAAGCCCCAGACCATCACACTTCCTCCTCCTGCCAGACCTCTTCCTGTCAGAGTTTCCCCCAGTTTCTGCGTTCCTCTGGATGGTGAAGGAAACTGTACTCACGACACCTTGACTTTCTTCGTAATTTCTCTGTAGGAAAGACCTAAATTTTTAAGTGTTATGATGGTCTGTCTATGTTCCATTGTTAATTGCATTTTTCTTGCAGTTTTTATAGCAACACACAACTTTCTGAAGAACAATACTGTTCAAATAATGCTCACGAGGGTATAGTACCACAGTCTGTTCCAACACTCTTTATGCATACAGAGGGGGTTAAGTAATAAAGGGAAGTTGGGACACATGTAGGAATTGGTAGCACCAACTTTCAAGGCTTGCTCAACCTCCATTGTTAACCCATTTCATGTTCCCTGCATAAGGCATTTTTGCATAATTCTGAAATGTACATTATTTTTCAGTTTAGGGTAACCTTACCTTTTTTTTTTAAACCTCTGGCAGTTCACCATTTACCTTTGTTACCATTTCAAGCTATTCATTGGACTGCTTGAATTTCAATAAAAAAACTGTAAAGATTGGGGTGTTCTAAAACTTTTGACCGGTAGTGTATACATTTCTATCAGATTCACATCGAGATGTGGGTCACATCAGCTGGAGAGGATCAGTAAATTCCAGCCTGTATGTGAACAAAACCATGTTATACAGTCGGCATAAGACATATTAATAAAGTATGAAAAGAAATTGGTGTCTTTAAATAACACCTTCTATAGCTAATATCAAAGAGTATGCTTTATAACACGTCTAAATGTGTAATTATGAAGGTTACGTATTCATGGAAATTCTAACACTAGATGGCAATAGCGCTTTATGTAAAAATCCTAATAAAACTGTATTAACTCCTATTTGTTTAATAAACTACAGATTTTCAAAGATGATTACAACACATTCAATGTGACAATTACAAATATGTAGACTAAGAAAGGCATAAATGTTCATTTGATGAAGAATCAAACATTGACTTGAGATAGAAAGTTTGTTTGAGGCAAGTGTTAATGCCTCACTTCATAAGCTGTAAATTAAGAAGTTGTCCTACCCTGATAAGACTACCTCCTGGTGAGTTAACGATACTCTCAGGCAAGATGTTTCAGGTGACCCTGTTGCAGTCAACAGCTCTAGAGGTCAGATTACTGATAGCTGGGTGTTCTGGTTCCTGCTGAAATGTTTATTCAAGGTGTTTTAAAAGTTTACAATATCCTTTCTCCAAAAGCTTGAGAGAGTACCTTTGTTCTTGGTAGAAGGTAAACAAGATGTTAATCAACAGTCCGTGAGTCCTGTCAGAAAGGTTGTAAAAAGGGGGCTGCGAATATCACTACACATCAGTTTTTGATGTGTTTTTTTTTTCTAGGGTACGACCCTGATGCCCATCCTGACCTCTGTACTGTTTAAAAAAACTGAGTGGGAGACTCCAGACACCTTCAACCCTGGACACTTCCTCAACTCTGAGGGAAAGTTCTTGAAGAAAGAAGCTTTCCTTCCCTTCTCTGCAGGTACACCACTTCCCCATGAAACTTAACTTTAACCTGATGCAGAATACAGTTTATTCCTGAGCTCTTACTTCAGTATGTGTTGTTATTATTGGTCATTTCAGGGAAATGTGTGTGTCTTGGAGAAAGTCTTGCCAAGATGGAGCTGTTCCTATTTTTGGTTGGTCTACTACAGAAGTTTTCTTTTTCTGTTCCTGATGGAGTTGAGCTTAGCACTGAAGGAATCACTGGAACGACACGCGTGCCTCACCCATTCAAGGTTTACACTAAAGTGCGTTAAACTGAACGACATCTCCCTGAGCCATGCAACATCTAATCAAAGTTTAATAGACAAGACAAACTTAATACCTTAGGACCTGTGTCCACAGACAACGCTTTTTGTGCTGGAAACGCTGAAGACTTCCGTTTCAGAGCCATTGCATTGTAGCTACTGTAGGTGAGAAAAGTAAACTTCCGCTTCCCTCAGTAATGTCTGTTAGGTGTGTTTTAGATAGCTCCATGTGCATAATATTTGATTAAATTCAAGGAAATATCACCAAGAAAACATGAAAACAATGTAAAAAGTAGTCCTGTACTCACACCAGCAGTAGCTCTACACATGGAAATTGTATTGTTGAAAAAATGAGTCAAGCTCATTTTAAAATGAAAATACAGTAACAGAAACGCGTTTTGATTTTCAGAATATAGGTGCATTATTTGACCTATATTTAAAATGAATATTCAGTCATCCAGTTTGCATTATACTTTTACTCTCTATGTATGCATTTTGTGTGACATAATTCAAACTTGCATAATGGCAAAGTGGACGGCGCAGGAAAGTGACGTCAGACTCCAGCTCCCAGGCAGGCGAGCATAATATTTACAGTCTATGAGGAGAGCGGGCAGAACACGCAGTACGATGAGTGGCGGGGTGAATCTTTAACACTAGGAGTACGATGAGTGGTGGGGTGAATCTTTAACACTAGGAGCACAATGAGTGGTGGGGTGAATCTTTAACACTAGGAGTACGATGGGTGGCGGGGTGAATCTTTAACACTAGGAGTACGATGGGTGGCGGGGTGAATCTTTAACACTAGGAGTACGATGGGTGGCGGGGTGAATCTTTAACACTAGGAGTACGATGGGTGGCGGGGTGAATCTTTGACACTAGGAGTACGATGGGTGGCGGGGTGAATCTTTAACCTAGGAGTACGATGGGTGGCGGGGTGAATCTTTAACACTAGGAGTACGATGGGTGGCGGGGTGAATCTTTAACACTAGGAGTACGATGGGTGGCGGGGTGAATCTTTGACACTAGGAGTACGATGGGTGGCGGGGTGAATCTTTGACACTAGGAGTACGATGGGTGGCGGGGTGAATCTTTAACACTAGGGCAGACTTTAGTTCACACTGTGATACAGGTGGCGATCGGAGTGTTTTTTTCAGCGCACACTGAACTTTCAGCGAGCATTACGCAGCAGCTTTATAACCAGAGCTGCCAAGTCTCACGTGTGAAACCATGCCCACTATCTCTGACCGTGAGAGTCACTCAGCATCTGCATGCCGTGAAATTCACACAGACGTGTCCTAAAACCGGTTTATTGATAGATTATAGATCACTCTCTTCTCTGCTTAACTTAGTTACATTAAAAAAGATTATCGATTGAATTTTCTGTTTCAAATAATCTCTCCAGCTCTGTGCACAAAGTGTCTCTCATGCTCTGTGCGTAATGGCACACACTCTCCCTCTCAACCGACTGTATGAGCTCTCTCTCCCTTTCAGAGGTTGTTTTGTAGTTATTAAAAGAATAATCAACTACAACGCCAAAACTGAATCAAAATCAGGGCAACAACTAGTTTGGAGCTTGTACCAGCGTTAAAGATTCACCCCGCCACCCATCATACTGCACGTTCTGCTTGCTCGCCTCATAGACTATAAATATTACGCTCACCTGCCTGGGAGCTGGAGTCTGACGTCACTTTCCACTTTGCCATTTCGTTTTTGAGTTGGTTTGAATTATGATCACTTTTTAGCACGGCAAGTTTGAATTATGTCATACAATATGCATACATACAGAGTAAAAGTATAACGCAAACTGGATGACTGAATATTCATTTTAAATATAGGTCAAATAATGCACCTATATTCTAACAGATAAAACGCGTTTCTGTTACTGTATTTTCATTTTAAAATTAGCTTTTTCATTTGAATTATGATCACTAATCGCTTCCATGGTCAGCAACTTCCTGCAGCAGGTCTGCCAGCGGTCTCCCGGTTGAAGCCATGCTAGTCTGCTGCTTAATGTCAACAGGAAGTCTTGCTAGGAATAGATCTGACTGGATCGCTCAGTTGACCAATCCTGAATGGGACTGACCTTAGTCCCTCCTACCTCATTAGCATACGGACACAGAAATGTAGAAATAAATAAATGTAGAAATAAGTAAATGTAGAAATAAATAAATATGGAAATAAATAAATGTAGAAATTAATAAATGTGGAAATAAATAAATGTATAAATAAATAAATGTGGAAATAAATAAATGTAGAAATAAATAAATGTGGAAATAAATAAATGTAGAAATAAATTTAAGACATTTAATTATTTACGTCCCATTTATTTACCAGTTTTTATTTATTTATTCACGCATTTAATTATTTATTTATTGAGTGATTGATTCTTTTATTTATTTATTCCAGTATTTATTTATACATTCATTTGTTTATTTATTTATACTTTTGTCAGGTCTCGTCCTCCATACTACTCTGCCATTGTTGTTGATAAAGCCTGATGTTGTAAGTGACATTGAAGTCTGTGGTGCTGTTCCAAAAGTTGTTCTTTTGTCGACTGAGAGCGCTTGGAGGCTATGGTCCTCCAAGCAGGCGGCCCGGGTTCAAATCCAGCCTGTGGCTCCTTTCCTGCATGTCATTCCCTACTCTTTCTCCCCAAAAAATAAATCTTAAAAAAATATATATATATATATTTGCAAGTGAATAATATAATAAAATTATCACAAAAAAACACAAATGTATTTTTTTTTTTCAATCTCATTTTTATTGGTATCCAGAAGCTTTACAAGAAGTTTGCTGGGTCCTGGCAAGCGCCTCAGAAGGGCAGAGCCTGGCTGTGGCTCCAGGAACCCCCTTCCTGTCCCTCTACTCTCAGGTCAATGTTGCCTGATTTAAATATTGCTTGATTGATTTAAATCACTGCTGCCATTGGACGAGACCGTTGCAGCCCTCATGTTCCCATCAGGCTCTGTGCTGGGGAAACCTAGCTGCCTAATGAAGGGGTGCAGAAATGTTGGATACCTAATAGTTAAGGTACAAGGGGCAATGGCAGTTTAGGCGTAGCTTGCTAATACAGGATTCATATTGGTGCTGTATCATCGGCGGCTGGCAAGTGAGCTGGATGCAGGATATGATATGCGGATCGTTTCTGAATTGCAGCTTGTTTCATCTGTCATGGCACAGTTGATGAAGGAGCAGGTGGCACAATGACGGCCAATATGTCTTCTGGCCCCCTTGAGGAATTGGGACACAAGGTTGCCAACTTCCTCTGACAATCTGCATCGCCAGGTGCTTCTCTGGGGTTTAGAGCTGGTTCTAAAGGCTCTGTATGTACTCCGTTCGAGCCCCTGGATTCTGTCGACTTGAAGTGGCTATCCCTTAAGACTGGCCTACTGCTCGCACTGGCCTCCACCAGGCGAATTGGAGAGCTCCAGGCTCTCTCCGTTCATGCAGGTGAATACAGGCGAATCCAGCATTTCTCCCCAAGGTACTTTCAGACTCTCAGACAAGTCAGAGGGTTGAGCTCTGGTCTCTCTACTAGATGCAGAGAGAATGAGAAGCACAGACCCTCACCGGTATGGGGGGAAGGGCACTTTAAGAGTATGTGCACCGGACTCACAAGAGGACAGCTCAGTTGTTTGTCTGTTTTAAGCCTGAGCTTTCTGGTAAACCATTGTCAAAAGCCCTTTCCCACTGGACTGTAGTTGCAATCAAGCAAGCATATGCAGGCCTTGGTAGCATCTGGCGCCTTGGCATCAGGCAGCACTAACTTACAGTCAGCAATACTTGCTGGCCTGGGGATGTGTATATTTTGTACAATTGTATTAAGGTTTGTTGACATCAACGTTGATGATACTTTTGAATGCAATTTTGAATGGGATTTTTGTTTGGAGCACTCCTGGTTGCGGCAACGTCTCATTCGAAGGACACACAGTTCGGCTCATGTTATGGCCGGGTGCTACTCTATCCCCTCAAGGTGTGTCTTACAGAGCCCCATACATATGGAATATGAAACTGAGTGGAGAGATAGTCTCAATACGATAGACTATCTCTCAGGCTCGAGGCCGCTAAGGGATCTTTTCCATCAAAATTTTAATCAGTTACAGTGTGGTACACAGGTGCTCTTATACTGTTAATAGCCACCTGACAGGTGGATTGTCATAAAGCCAATTGTCCAAAACTTCACCTGACCCCATGGTCAGCCCCATACATATGGAATAAGTAATGGAGTGGAGGGATAGTCTCTTCACTCAGAGAACCATGGTTACACATTGTAACCTTACTTTTTCACCCATTCTTGAAGAAGTTTGTGATCTTCAGGATCTGCCACATGTTACCTAATCAATGGCCCTTGTTTTCTTAAGAATACCTTAAAAAGATATTTGAGCAATCTCAGACCAATATGACAGACATCTGGATACACTGGACAAGGCATTTAACGATGTTCTCATCATGTTACGACACACGAATATAAAAAAAAAATCATTCAGAATAACAACAGCTTAAAATATATAAATAACACTGATGTACTGAAAGCAGAACTTCAAAATACATTCTCACATCCATAAATCATACATACATCATATTTTCCTTTCACTGGTAGGACAGAAGCCTTTTGCATTTTTTACTTAACTTTTCTTCAACTCAAGCAGTGACACAATAAAGCACCTTTATTACTTTAACTGCAAATGTTGTTATCTCAAACCACTGTTTCAGGGACTGCACTAACCTCCAAAGTTGGAAATATATTTAAATCATTATGTATGATATATTTTCCTGTTCTTAAATCAATAAATGATTGCAGCTTTATTCTAAAATACATAATTTAACATAAATAAAGAGAAGTCAGGGGAAGTATTGAGCTTCAAAACTTCAACACAATGTGTTGTGTTAACAAAGTACTTAATATTAAGTAATGTTCCACAGTATTCTTGATACTTATTGAATTTATCAAACGTAAGACACTCCAGTTGAATATAATTTGAAAAGTCTGAAGCTAGAAGGAGCTTCCTGTCCAAAGATCAATGATGCTAAATGTCAGAGCTGTGTTGTATAACAGAACTTGACTTATGATCTACATTTCTGAGTACACAGGACAAGGCAGATACCTTTTGTTCACACTGCACTTTGTATTGTTGGCTTAAC